TGACATCTAATTATTAATTACATGTTAGCAAATGAGTCCTAGATGCTCAGAGTTTTTGAAAATCTGATTTATTTATTAATTTGCCTGGGAATGGATTAGATACTTCATGTACTTATTTCTGCCAAATATTATGTCTCAGAGTATCAAAAAAAAAAAAAAAAAAAAAAGTCAACCACTGCATCCACATCTGAAAAGTATGAAGACTCTTGTTCGAAACTTTTTCCCTCCAGGATAACTTAATCCATTGTCTTATCATTGTAAAGAAATTCATGAAGCAGAAAGGAAAGCCCCTTCATTTTGAGGACAGGGGCTACAAAAGTTCTCTGCCATCTGAAGGCCTGTGACACAGTGCGGCTACGGAATTTATGAAAACAAAAATAGCACATTTAACAGCATTCTTAAAGCACTATAAAAGTGCTTGTACAAAAAACTTGTACAAAAGTACGAGCACTAGTATTTTTCAACACAGTTATTCAAACCAGCAGTAGAAGCTGGGAGGAACTTCAGAGGAGTCTACAGGTGATATTCAGTAACAACAAACACCAAGTAATGGTGCACTGCAGGGAAAACTCTATGGGCAAGGGCCCTGAAATGTTCCCAATTATCGTCACTTTAGTATTAGTTCTGAATTTGTATTAGTTCTGAAGGAGTCTGACATGTCACTACAGTTGACCCAGTGCAGACTTCTATTCAGCAAGCAGGTACTTGTAAGAAAAAGAAGCAAGATTCTGAAGTCCATAAGGAATGGGAGAAGTGACAAAGGAAAATTTCTGAAGAGGAATACTTTAGCTCCTCTACAGAAATCAATAGTGTGGGCTCATCTGGAATTTTACATGCTGGAAACTCTACCTCAAAAGAAGCAGAATGATTTCCAAATAAGTTCAGGAAAACACAGTAAGAATAATGAAAAAGAGAGACTGCAAGACAGGAATGCCTCCCTTCTATGGAAAACTGGTGAGACTATCCAAAATAATGAAGGCACAAAGCCTGGGAACTTGTTTGCCCTGACTCACAGAACAGGGGCATTCAGTTGTAATAGAAGGTGAGAAATGGAAATCAAAACAAAATATTTTTGCAACCAATCTGCAAATAAACTGTAAGCCTGTGTTAGCTCAAGGGAACATAGAGCGTGGCCCCTTAAAGCAAGGGGACACAACTTAGCAAGACCAGGGCCTTTCTGTGACTGTCAGGAGTATCTTGCATTCTGCTGGATAACAGCAGCACCCGCTAGGAAAGACACAGAGCTCTTGAGCCTCTGGAGCTCAGCACGTCCCTGTGCAGCCCCACGATTCGCAGGTGTCTTCACATCAGCTGCTGCCAATTTTAGGCCTTCCTGGACTCGTGTGGGGAAAACCAGTGTGTGCTGCGGGACACTTTGCTGCTAGCAAACACTGCTGCCAGGGCAGCACGTGAGCAGCAGCTGGGCCATGCTGCCCTTCCCACTTCCTCAGGATTCCTGGCATCATCACACTGACCTCTTGCGGCTGACGACACCAGCAACCACAGCAGGAGCAGAGAGAAGGTAAGGAATTATACCCTGCAACTGCTGTGGGAGCAGCAGAAGGTAAGGAATTACACCTTGCAGCCACTGTGGGAATTACACCCTGCAGCCGCTGTGGGAGCGCTCTTCAGAGCCAGCACCAAATCCCGGCCTTGGAGCACCACTGTGCACAGGGCCTGGGAGCAACGCTGTGCTCATGGCTAACGGATAGCTCTGCTTCTGCTCACAGCACTCCTGTGAGACAGGCACTCTCTGTATCAAGCTGTGTTGGGGTTTCCTACCACAACACCGCTATAATACCCATGTGCACAGCAGCCCCTCTTTCCAGATGAGGAAAAGGAAACAGACTATGGCTGCGTGTGCAAGCTTTCTGCAGCACACATCCCAACTGGACACTGAAGACCTAGACTAAGGCACGTATGTTAAACTCCAGCCTTCCTTGGGTGTCTTATAGTCACCCGCTTGTGTTTATTTTATGTTACTTTATGTCATTTTATGTTATGTTAGTCACTTCAATTTATTGCACACTTAAATTGCTCCTAAAGTCTTTTTGTTTAATTGGTTTTATTTTAGTTTTGTTTCTGTCCTGATAGTCTCAGTGACCTGTTTTGCAGTTTGATCCCACAAATACTCATCCTGGCACAATGGATGGTGCAATAAGCTAAGGTTTGGGGGCAGAAACAAGTGCTTATGAGCCAGGAAGGGCAGGAACTGGTTCCTGCTGAAGAAAGTACAACAGGGAATTACACGCTTACAGGTTAATGTTGGAATTTACTCAGGAAAACTAAAGACACACCCAGAGCAAGAGGAGCAGAACAAGACATTTACTACAGATTTCAGTTTGTGACCACCTATTGGTGTCCCAGGAAATCAAGGGCTACTGGTCTGAGGAGCAAGAACTGTTCCCACGGGACTTTCCCTGCAGAGTGACAACGAAGGGTGAATGGGGACAGATGATATGACAAAGTGCATTAGATTTTTATAAATTTATCGCTACATCCAAACGGCAGTGACATATATCATCCACTCCCAATACTTTATCTCTTAGGGGTAGGAGATATAACTCTTCATGTGAGGAGATAGTTGCCAGCTGTTGAATCGTACCTCGATGCTATAGAGCAAGCGTGTGCATGGAGAGTGCTGCCACTGCACAGTGCTTCCTAGGCCTGAAGTCAATGCAATGAAGGCCTAAATAGGCTCCTTCTGTGCTAGCTCATCAGAAACACTCTTGGGTCTGACAGAGACTTCACAGACAAAAAGAGGCACCGTGGGCTTTTCCAGCAATATCTATGGGGGAAATCCCAGTTCCTTAACACTTCTGTGGAGCTGGGAGAGGCACAGCCTGTACCTACTTAAGGAAACATGACCACTGGAAGACCTCAGTGCCACTTGCCACCTGGCTTCAGGCTTCCAGATAAAATTGTGGAGAAGCGACTGGAGGCACCACCACAGCTCCCTTTGCCAGGCAGTGGCCAGCTAGTGAATGCAACACTAAAAGGGGTTTTCTGCCCTACTCAGAAAATAACTTTTCACAAAACCGTGAGGAATTTAACATTTGTATAACCTTTTAAAAGGTTTGGCTGAAACTGGCCATTGGCCTAAGAAATATCACCAACAGACATGAAACAAAATCATTGAAGCTTCACATCTTTAGGAAATAAAGGGGGAAAAGAAGGTCTTATATTAGTCTAACATAAAGCTTCTGTGTTCTATTCTATCAAATATTCTTTTCTCTATTTTAAGAAGCCAAGACAGCTGAGCTTCTCAAGTCTCTCACAATATAAGTACGTTTTTAGTCTAAATTCCTGCCGGGCCAAGTTCTCTCCTTGTGCCATGGCTAAATGGACACTCTGGAATGCTTCCACCACTGCACACTTGCTGGGAAGCGGCACAGCGCAAGCTCCCCATAAGCAGCCATTCAAGCTAAGGCTGGGCTTTGGCTTGGCCTGGCTAAATCCCTCCTACAGACAATGCAGTGATCCGTGGGGTGCAGTGAGGCAGGCCGCTGGGACAGCAGTGTCCTTGCCTGCTGCACTATGGCTCATCAGCACCTTCCAGCAATGCCTCTGGATGCTCAAAGTGACAGCGAGGTGTCTGCTTCCACCTCCCATATACATATATGTATAGCCACAAGACTACTCTAGAGTTATCATTGCGAGCTAGCTTGTCCTGGCCTCGCAGAAACAGCTGTAACAAAGAAAAGGGTTGTGGATTCAGAAATTACAAATCCAGATTCACTGTGGTCACCTACACTGACTTGCTGTGCGCCACGGACAACAGGAATGCCCCGACATCATTTCTTTTGGAATTACATCACCACATTGAAAAATATGAGAAATTGAGAAATCTAGATCTAGACTAGCACAGCTTGAGTCCAACTGCTCTCAGGCCACTGCAGCCAGGCTGCAAAGCCACGCAGGACTCACTGAGCAGAGCAGAGCAACCCCTTTCCACCACGTTCCCAGCGTGACTGTCAGCAGGTATCCATGTCCACATCCATGTGCTCTGCAAGACCAACTACTTCAGCATCTTCAGTGTCATTTTACTGAATGGTCAGTCACCTTTAGTATGAGGGCAAGGCTTGAAGCAATGCTGGAGTAATACTTCCACAATTTTGCTTTTTTAAGACAAAGCTTATGAAAGTAAGCATAGTAACACTTGTGAATTTGCTTAGAGTTAATGCTAACAGTATTTATTGGTTTCCTTATAAAATTAAATGAAGCACTCATACACCTCGTCTGCATCAGGGATCTATCCATCACGCAAGGATAAACTTTCGTTACCCCCTGTAACACACTGGCAGGCTGTGCTGCAGAGACGACTTGCAGTCGTGGCTGTAGTGTGGGCACCGTACAGGAGCTCTGTGCTCACTCCAAGCGGGGAAGCGCAGTCAGAGGAAGCGGGCCGGCCGCGGGCGGCTACAACGGCAGCGCAGGCGGCCGCCCTCACACAGCACGAGGACGCAACCGCCACCCCCCGCTCAACGGCCGTGCTCCGGCACCGCGCATGCGCGCAGGGGGCGGGGCCTGCGCCTTCCCCGCGGGGGGGGCGGGACGTGGTACGGCCCGACCCGGCGCTTTGGCGCGTGTGCGGGGCGGGCGGCGGCTCGCGGCGCACCCCTGCGCTGCCGCGGGTTGGTTTGCGCCGCTCGGGGCGCGCTGGGAGGCGCGCGCCGCGGCCGTTGGGAGCGTGCGGGGCGGGCAGGAGGCCGCGGGGGAGTGGCGGCTCGTGGCGCCGGGTTCGTTGTTGCGGCCTGCTGCCCGCGCCTTAGGGCGGGCGGTTACTGCGGGCCTGTCCCCAGGGTTCCGCGTCCCGGCGGCCGCTCCCGGGAGCGCTGCCCTCCCGCTTGCAGGTGGCGGCGATGGAGGTGCTGCTGCCCGCCGCAGCCTCGCCGCCTGCCCGCACGTCCGTGCAGAGGCGCTGCAGCGAGCGAGGAGAGGCGCTCCTGCCCTGAGCTTCGTTGTGCGGAGGGATGGGTGAGCCCCACAACCCCAACCCTTGCCTTTGTGTTGCCCGTTCATTCACCTCCAGAGTGAATGTGGTGTCAAAAAAAGGCAAACGAGCTCTTGAGGAGACCCCATGGGGAGCTGGTTCTTTACCTTGCTCCTTCTGGGCTTTGCGAGAACAACACAAGCCAACAACAGAAGACGGCTAGAGGGCCTGTGGTTGCGCTTTTGCTATTCAGCAGTTACATGATAGATGTAATGCTTAGCGTACAGGAATTTGATGCTTTAATTAGGTCAGAGATGAATGGTAAAAGCTGCATCAGGTGTACACAGATTGTGTGATACAGTGGAGAGAAGGTTTTTTCCTTCTCCGTTAGATGGAGGGGAGGTCTCCATGTCATCACGTGCGTTAGCAGTAATGACAGAAGTTTCTTTAACTCAAGTTTTAGGGCTTTTTTTCTCCTCCTCCTTCATATTAACAAGCATTGGAAGGTTTGACAGACTTTCCTCCAGAAATTTATTTCCGCTCTGGCTTTTTAATGCACAGGTGACTTTTATTACAAAGCTCCATGGAACAATCTGGCATCCTAAAGATTGCAGTTCAGGCTTAAACTTTTTCTAATGTTAAAGCAAGGGACGTGTCAATGTTGCAGGCTCACAAAGTGTAAAGCAGTTCTCCCTATAATCCAAATGATTTTTTTGTTGTTGTTTCAATTTGAGAGCTGTATTTATTCGTGCTGATGGAAGGCTTTATTCCAGTTTAGTGTTTACAAGAATGATGACATAATTTCAGACTCGTGAAGGTTTTTTCGCTTACAGAAAGTTATCTACAACTTTGGTAAATGCTGCTACATGAAAGGTGAAAATAACTAGTAATGTTCTTAGACGTTGTTTTGCCTTTGTGCTTTGCCATTTTTTTATTAATGACTTAGGGGTTAACAACTATGAAGGGAATACTTTTTAGTATTGGGTGATGCCTTTTACACTGATGCTGGTAGAATAGTCTTCCTTTGATGCCACTTTGAGGTAACTTTAGGTATCACTGCTAGCGGGGGAGCTGCTCTTCCTCTGCCCTAGCAGAATGCTGACATACCAATAGAAACTTCTTACAGGGCTCTAGTGCGTTTGTGCAGTGTCCATCATTGGGGATTTTGCTGACAGTTCTGCAGCTCATACAGACAAGCATGTGGTGAAATCCCCAGCATGGAAAAGGCTTGCAGGAAAAAATTACAACGCCCTGGTGGCACAGCTGTGCTGTAGTTTTCTCCATGAGGTGGGTGATGAGAAGGTGTATGACTTTGCTTCAACCTTTCATGTATGATGGAGCCAAATTAAGTTCTTTGTGTTGAGAAAAACAAGTTCAGCAGAATGACTTTTGAGGAGATATTGGACCATTAATCACCTCAGGTCTCAGTCTGACAACTTTGTTTTTGCTAAGAATAAATTGAGAAGCCCTAAAACAAGTTAGCATTCCAGTGTTGGGGGTTTCATTGCAAATGGTGCCTGGCTACCAGTGTGTCCAGGGGAAGCCTGGGTGCCTTTCTGTGCTTAGTGAGGGGTGATACTGTGGAGAAATTCAGGGAGCACAGAGTTAAGATGTTTGTAGAGAAGACTGGTAACACCTGGAAGCTCAACATCTCTTACCAAAATGCCTTTCCCTATAACTTCCTGGAAAAGTTAGCTCTATTCAGAAATCCAGTAGTCTGTGTCAGTGTGAAATGTGGTGACACAAACAAGATGATAATAGGACATACTATCAAAGACTTGATGTAGTGCTAAACTGTGGTTTGTGTAAACTAAGTACCCACTGGCAGGATGAGTCACTCAAGCCTTTGAAGGCAGGTTCTTGAATTATGAGGGCAATCCAGTACAGAGAAGTCATTATGAGAACTTACCTGCATTTCAGGGGACATAATATGCCATGTGCTAGAGAGCAGTGCTGCACTGAATGCTTTTGTACAGTAGCCAGCAGGTAAAGAAAAAAATGGATGGAAGTTTGTTGCAACACTTATGAATGGGAGGTGAACAAACTAATTACTCAAACATGAAGAGTTTACCAGTGATAAAGACAGGCTGAAGTAGAAACACTAATAAAAAAAAATGATGTTCACACATTTTATGTAGTTGAATCTACCAGTTAAACCTGCACATATTCCAGGAAACACTAATAGTTGAAAGTATATTTTTTTTAATACATTGTCTTCCCATTATTCTTTTTGTTTCACTTGAAGCATTAGGAGGGCTGAAAAGAGGGTGCCACCACCCAGTGCAACACAACAGACTTTCCAGGGAAGAATACAGCTCAAGAAACCCTGGAAGAGTTAAAAGACTCATTGAGAAATTTTACAAAGAACTAGGGAGTTTTGACCCATATGTGAGTTACTTAGATTACTGGGTCTTACAACTGTGGAACATTTTTGTTGCTTGCTTTTGTTGTGTGCTAGAAATAGATATACTGCACAGACTACAAAATAATAAACAGTGTAACTGTGCAGTATTTGCAATAAAAGCTTTCAAAGTGCCAGTTTAGCTTTCAGAGCAGCTCAGTGCTTTGGCAGCTATTTGCAGAGGCAACACAAATCTGTAATTTTGCTTAGCTGGGCAAAGAGCTTCTCCTGCCTCTAGGCTTTTAAAAAATTACATATGTAGATTTGGATTTCTGTTTTCCAGTGAGATGAGGGGCAAGCTGATTCTTGCAACTTCGTCCCAGGCTTTAAGGATGCAGCAAGCTAATGTTTGCCAGAATATTATTGAAAATAGACACCTGCATATGTTCAGTCTCACATTGTGTTTACTCTTTTTTAGGCAGAATTGTTGGAACATGTCTGAGACCAGTGGCCTTCTACATAGAATAAGACTTCTCCCTAACAGATAGAAACCCATAAAAAATATGGAATGTTAAATCTGAAAATTTTGGTGACACTCAGAAGCTTTTAACTGTATTGGGGTAGTGTCTGGCAATGTTCATGTAGGCAAAAAAAGAATAAAGGTTTATTTTTTTTTAAGTCTTAGAACTCTTTTTTCTTTTTCCCCCAAGATTAAAGAAGCCAGTAAATGGAATGGAAACCATGGTCTTGTGCAGCATCCCAAGAGATTGTTTTAGCTGGGATTTGTATTCTGGTTAGGAAAAGTACAAATCTAATACTGAGCAAACTTGGATTTAAAAATAGAGACATGAAGAATTGCAAGCTTCCTTTAGACCCCAGACACTGCATATTAGGACACCATTATGCCCTGTCAACTGAACTTGAAGTAGACTGAAACACACAGCCGGACTAATGATAGGATTTCATACCTCTGTTACTCATATATGAATTTTACCAGCCAGAGTGCATGCTGAAATTCTAAATCTTGCAATGCCAGATATCTCAATACTGAATATAGGCAAATTACTAAGCATGAGTTCCTCTCTGCTTTGTCAAGAAGAAAAAGGCTTAGAAAAGAATGAGTCACTTTTAGTGAATCAAGATGTAATAACTGAATAGGATAGAAAGCTTAGGGATTGTATTTGGGCTTATATTCCCTGAAGATACCATCTGTTCAGGAGTTTTGCTCCTGCATCTCTGCTCAGAAGTGCAAGATTAGCAGAAGTAGCTTTTAAGACCAAAAAATAAAAATTCAAACAAACAAAAAGACCCCTTGAGAATAACAGCTAATGCCAAATTTAAATGATGGTGTCTGAGATGTTAATATCATACCAACAGGGAAAACATGGAGAATCTAAATTTTGATATATATTGAATATGGAACAAATAAAAAGTGATGTAGAGGGAGGGATAAATGGGATAATGAAGATAGCTGGCAGCAGTACTGTGAGACTCTGTAAGAGTTAGGACTTGGCTGTCCTAGTTTTTATGAGCAGCTAACTGGACTGAACCCTGTGAAGCAGTTTTTCTTTTTTCTTTCCTTACTTTGCTTTTTCAAGTGGTAGTACAGAATCTGGCAGACTCAAGATTGATAATATCAAGCAAAAAGGAGGAAGGTTCCTGTGTGCTCAGAGAAAGCCTAAAAACAAAGGTTTTTACATTAAGTTGCTGTTCTGTTACCTCCCTTCTGTTAACCTTCAAGTAAGGGTCCTGGATATAAATTATTTACTATTTCTTTATAAGGGGGCTTGTTGAAAGTAGCAGTAGTAGTTTATGAAGAGTGTCAAGTACTTTCTTAGGCCCTTAGTGCTAGCTCGTGCTAGTTACTAGCACTTACATATTTCTAATAATTACTATTAGAATATTAATATATATCATTATTGTTTCTAATAAACAAGTGCTAGTAGCTTCAAGATGTTATTACAGCAGGTGTATGTCATGCCAGCTGATCAACTGGGAGGGCAGTGGAGAGAAACACAGGGCAGAAATTAAAACTGGGTAAAACAGGAAAAAAAAAAAAAGGGTAAAACAGGAAGGAGAGAGCCCACAACTGCCACACTAGCCCAGTATGTTTGGTTTCAAGCTCATGTCGCCTGGTAATTTTTAAATAATGAAGCTGTGGTATGTAATGGAAGTATAAAAAGAAATTACACTGACACTTAAAAATACTTAATCTAGAGAAGCTGCATCCTCAAGGGGGTTTCAAGTGGACTACACCTGTTTCTACCAGATGGTACTGTCACATGGATGTGTGTTTCTGAAGCTGTTCTCCTTGGTGTAATGTAAATAAGACGCAGAGGCAACCACAGAATGCCCTAAAAATTCAAGTTTTACTTGACTTTTAAATAACCTGGACACAAGTTTTGACAGCCATCTATTAAACTCATTTTAAAACAAAGCACACAGTTGCTTCATGAATATTTAACTTAACGCACACAGAGTATACACATCACATTGATATGTTTATTTATGCTGTTTTAAAACAACATTCTAGAGACCTTTGAATCAAACAGACTTTTCTAAAACAAAATATGCTATGCAGTTCAGCATTCAACTTATAAAGATGATTTGGCAACTTAAGTGTGGTTTAGAGTATGAGTTGCAGGTAAGCAGTACTGACAAAGCATTGTAGAAAAGGACAGCTGAAGAAAACAGTTAACAAGCAAGGATATCAATCGGGATATAGAAAAATGCTTTTGTGGTGCAGGTGGCTAGCCCTCTTTATTGTATTAAATGCTTCTTTTGCTAGGAGGTTCATCCATATAGTTGGATGTTGCTAACTAACAAGTAGGATGCGTAACTTACCAATTCATAGCACTTACAGAAGCCTCGGGAGAGGTAGAAGCTGAGGCACAAAGCTAAGTTGCTGGCCTGAGGCTGCCTCTGCAATGCAGAAGCAGAGCTGTGAAGAGACCGTCCTGTTCTGTTCCTCTGCCCTTTGGGACAAGGCTGTGTAAGAGCCAGCCCGAGGGCGAAGGCTGCCGACCTGGGTACGTGTTTCCCGTGTTTCCCATCGCTGCAGGAGGCGGGAGCGGGTGCACAGTGAGCCTTGCGCCCGCTTGGAGCGGGCAGCGCTGCAGCCACCGTGTGCGCTCCCAGCGACGCGTTTCTTGAGATCTCATACACAAAACTGAAGGAATCACAAGAGGATGTGCTTTGCCTTTCCTCAAAGGACCCAGGAAGACACGCTCGGAGGCAAAGGAGCTGCGTGTATACAGAGCAACTTCCCTTTCTGCTGTACTAGCTGACAGTTACATCCTGGCCTGAATCTTCCCTTGTTCTCATGTGAGCACGCAAAGCACACATTAAGCTTGGTCTTTCTTGTACCAGGACAAAATTGTATTGATCCAGGCTGATGACTAGGCTTGTTAAAAACCTCACACAGTCTCACAGGGAGTAAAATTACTAATTCAAATCCAGGACTCTCTGCAAGTTCCTCTTAAAACAAAAAGCATGAACAAAACAAAAAACACTCAAAAAGGTTAGCTTGACTAGGAAAATTCCACTTTGCTACCAATTTAGAACTGGAAATATGAATACTAGTCCAGACATGAAAGTCTGTTTTCTGATAGAGTAAAACACCACACATCTTATTGATGGTATCCACTGAAAATATTCAGAAGCCCACAGGCAGGTGACAGCATACAGGGTGATGTTATCTTACAGGTAACTTACTCTCTGATCAATAATATTTGGGGATTGATAAGATATGGACAGCATGTATAGATATCAAATCACAAGAATGCAAGTAATCCTGAAGCAACAGATGTGCTCTACTTGCCTGTGTCTGAGTAAGGAGACCAGAGAAGTGGCACTAATTTAGAAAGCAGCAAACTACAGGCAAATTTATAAAGCTCCAAAGCTTGGGACAACTTCCTGAACAAATAAGGTATGGCTTTGATTTAGGATATCTTTATCACTTTTTGTGTGGTCAGTCATAATTTTAGAATTCTTGGAACTATTCCAAGGAATTGTGGGGATAATAATTAAGACCAGAATTTTAACCACAGGGGATCGTGAATTTTTTTTTTTTTTTTTTTTTTTTTAAGACAGTACATGTGAGAATAATGTTCTAGGTCATATCACTGTAACCTGGAACAGTAACAATAACACCATTCAATTTAAACTCTGGGGTACTATTTAAAAGACTCTTTAAAATAGTTGGAGCAAACACTTAAGTCAAGCCTAACAATGTCTTAAGGTGGTTTCTGCAGTTCACTGAGAAAGTGGTGAAAAACATCAGCTGCATTTGTAGCGCACACTAGTTCAAAGTCCTTCTTTACCGTAGAATTTTTTTGCTGAGACCAAAGGAGAAGCAGTACCTGACATATATGCCCAAAGAAAAATATCTGTCAGGTGAATCTGCCTTCCTTGGAAGGCTGGAGCATCTCTCTATCTGCAGATGAGCCTATATTGTCACAGGAACATACAAAAGATACCATTACTACCCTGGCTAATGGCAACCATCTTAACCACTTCAGATCTTCACAGACATTGAAGACTCTAAAAGATGAAGTGGAAAATAACTGTCATTATACCCTGGGCACATGAAATATAACAGCAGTTTCGGTTTCTATTTCAGTTCCAAACATTCCCTACTTAGTTTTGGGATTACACCCAGCAAAGTTACCTTCGTAAGGAAAAGGTTTTGCTAAACTCCTTAGGAAGCTGTCAAAGCCAGGAGGGTGGGCTCATCAATACTCACCGAGGACAAATGGGAGTGACTTCACAGGAGTGACTTCAGCTATTTATACAAAGACATAGGACAGGAGGAGATCTAAGCATCACGTCAGACACACACTGGAAGATAACCTGCTCAATACGGAGCATCATTAAGATTAACTACTCCTACCTTAACAAAAGAAAAAATGCAGTTATCACATCTGGAGTACAGCCTTGGTCATTTCATCACAGAAGTGGCTCAGAGAGGAGGAATAGAAGTTATTAGTACTGAATATTTAATACGAAAAGAGATTAAGGCAGGCTTCACTTATCTAGTTTAGAAAAAGGTTATTTGCCAGCTCTTTTTAAATCTTAAGCTAAAAGTTTTGTTTAACAGCTATTTAAGTGTTCTGCTAAGTAGTATTAATACAGTACATAAGATCAGTAAGAAGATCAAGAAGATATGTACTAGAAGTACATATTCATCAGATATTTCCAGTGTGGTTTACCATAGAGATGATCTATCTGTTCTTACAGTAGGCAATGTTCAATTAAATAGTCCCTGCACACAAAAGGGCATTCAAAATTGAGAACACTTAGAACTGTTAAGTGAAAGTAAGTCCATGTAATCCCTGCAACTCTCTGTCACAGGGAGTTATGGAATCTATTACTTCTGAGCTAACAAGGGATTGAGACAACATTTGTATTAACAACACCAGCATGTGTTGTTTAAGAGCTAGAAGTCCTTATGTTTCAGGGTGTAAGCTGATCCCCATTGAAGTTGAGAAGATGTTTCTTCCCAAGTCATACTATATTGCACAATTGGCCAAAAAACCAATTATTTTGCTTCCCCTGAAACATCTGGTCCTGATCACATTAGTTAACAGTCATTTTTGGAAAAAGGCAATTCAGTTACACAGCAGACCATAAAGTCTGTTTTGTTGCAGCAATTTTTTGTTTCTTTTTTGGAAATGTAACTGCTGATGATTCAGTTTTACCAAGACTTTGCTTTTTGGTTGTCTCATCAGGCAGCTTCTCCTCAGTCAGTCACACTATTAGAGCAGTCCAAATCCAAGCAGAAAATGCATTGCTTGGCTTCCCAGCAAGCAGGCTGCATTTCTGAAAGTTCTGAGGGAACTGCTATCACTCCAACTTCACATCTTTTACTTGCACAAAAACCCTTGTTTCCAAAGAATAAAATCCATTCATCATCTTCAGCTGCCACAGTCAAGTCTCCACCTTGAAGCGTGACACCTGTACAGTTTTTATTGTTTTAATGGTGGGCTTTCCATCGAGGTTGTTAGTAGAGAGCTGAGATTTCTCTTCCATTAGGCTCTCTTTAGATCCATTTCGCCTCTAAAGAAAACAAATGAAAATATGTTGCTGAAAATGTACAGTAGAATATATCCTGTATTTTGACAACTGCTATTATGACATCTTTAGACCAAGTACAGGACAATTTACTGATACTAGGAATATGAAAGTCTGTACATTTGATCAAGCAGAACAACTACTCTTGCTTTCTGCTACTCTCCCAGCTGCTGCTCCTCTGTGCTATCTGGATTCATATTCCTTATTCAGGAAATAGCAGAACTAATTATTTGGTATTTGGCCAAATACTGCAAACAAGTGTTCATTAGTAACTAATGGCCACTGTTGCGAAGCATTCCAGGGGAAAGGGAGGTGTTTGTAGACACTGAACATCGTAGCACTCATTTATTCCAGGGCTATGAATTAATGCCAAGTAGAATAAGAGGGTAATGAAAATAAGATTATGTGGTAAATTTTAAACAGGATTTAATACTGTAAGTTATTTATTTCTATAAAGCACATAAATGTGCTTAGTTTTAAGTTTAAGTTTCCACACTGCACTTATCAGCATGTGGTTGTCATATACTCACTTGCCAGACTAGCGGACATGATGGGTAGGAAGAAATTGCGTATTGGTTTTCATATTTTGATTTTAATTTTGAAACTACAACACTCATTTCTTAATGACAATTAAGTTGTATTGGCAAAGACTCCTCTGTCTTGCTGAAAACCTATACACACACTGCCTTAAGAGGACAATGAAGAATCCTATCTGTTTTTATTGAATGTCTTACTGCACAGATATGCCCTCCCATTGCCAAAAGCGATGATAAAAAATAAATAAAAAGGTTCTAGAAAGAAGCAAGATTTAAGATTCTAGTTGTATGAGTTTACCTGAATTTCTAATAAATATTGTTAAAACCTTTAATAATCTGAGAACCCCATAGCATTGCTGGAAAAAAATACAGGTAAAACAGCAATTCTCAGAAAAGCAGCAATTTGTGCCCTTCTAAGGATTTGGAAGCTAGACAGAAATCTGTCTGGAATCTTCCCTTGCATTCATTGGTTTTCCTTTAGTGCACTCATGTAACATAAGTACAGGTGCTTGCTTTTTGAATATCATTTCCTCCAGCCTGAGAGTGTATAAAGACTTCCTATCAAAGCTATGTTACCATAATATAAAAAAAAAGCCAGCAATAAAGACAAGATCTGACCACTTTATTTCAAAAAGCTGAAAAGAATAACCATTTAGCATTTGAGAAAAAGAGTAGTGTTTCAAGCCTGAACAATCAAGCCCTAAGAAGTGGAGGGAAAATGATAATGGACTATAATTAGAACTACATCCTAAGTTTACATGCATATTTTAAGTAACTGTGACAGTAATTCTCCTCTTGTGGAAAGAGGATAGCACGTTAACAAAGCAACCAACTTAGAACTAAGGAATTGTCCCTCAGGAGCAGAAGCATGTATTCATGGGAGTACATGCTCCAGAATTCAATATATTTTAAAATGTAAACTAAGTAGTCAAACCAAAGTAAGTTAAATGTAAAGTCACATGGCTTTTCTACTCACCAAAAGACCAAGTCATAATCTGAATACAGTGCTTGAGCCTTTCTCCTTCCAAAAATGGAATACTTTCAAGGGTGCACACTTACTAACCTGCTGAGTCAGTTGGATGATCGGACCTTTAGCATCTGAGGAACGTGTCACAGGCAGTGGAGGCACCAGGTCATTTTTCGCACTGGAATTACAAAATGTTACTACAAATTGGGCATCTCTTGGGTAATAAAGTTTACTGCAACAATACACACAAGCATAAGAAACTGCCCAAGTCAGTTACATAAAGACACTTCAAGTAGTAACAGATCTCAAAGGCAGCTGATTACCTAACCCATAACTTCAGACATCTAAAAGCCATTGAGACCACTCTCAATATTCGCTGGTGAGAGCACCCTCAGGGCAATGCTCATTCATTCCCTTCTCACAAGGCCTCTCTCCCCAGGCTAGAGAGGGGGGCCATGTTTAGGTGAGGCCTCATGCTAAACCACAGGAGAAGGATGTTCCTTCTCCTGCAGAGTGCCAGCAGCTCACCTCAGCACAGATGAAGGAGGACAGGAGATGCCCAGCAAGTCCAGAGCATCTTCTCCCAAGGAAGAGGAGCGCCTCCATGCAAAGCCTTAACTTACTGCCCTGAGCTTTGTGATGCTGCTGCGGGCATCACTTAGCTGGATGGGGCCAGCTTTCTCAGGCCTCAAAATAAGTGATCATTGGGCTTGTTCTTCTCCATTCACAGATCACTTATATTTCCTCTACTAACTGGTTTTCTTAGGAAAGACTAAGCCACCCACTGCTGAAGAGGCTTATTGGAGTTCTCTTGGAACACACTGCTGCAGATTTACAGTTTGACTCTATGAGGCTACAGGTATTTGGAGAATGACTCACAGACCTTCCTACCCCTAAGCAACATCAGGACCTATCTCTCATGAGCACGGTAGGTTTAGTTGGGCTCTTCTGTTTCCTCACCCTTTCTACAGACTAGGTCAAGCAAGTCTCCATGGCTCAAGACATACTACAAATGGTTTTGCACTTATTTACCTCTGAAGACTTACTGCTTACAGGATTGCCTGAATGCTAAGTCAGAAACAATCACATATACGTCACTTGTAATGTAAGCATGATTTCTGAAGAACGCCTGTGACCCATTAAAACAATCTATTGCTAGCAATCACTTTCACATACTTCACTTCTGACAGAACAGATCTTTCACCATCAGAGCACTGCGAGCGCCGATACTGACGGTAGCTTCGAGGGGAATGTGAATGTCTGATGCGAATTGGGTCACCTTGAGTCCTAAGTGAGAAATAAAATTCACAAGAGAAGATTAATAAATCAGACCTTTGGCACAAAAAAAAGGAAAAAAAACGCAATTTCAGAGCCACTCTCCCATTTCTTATTAAAATAGAACAGATGGCTTCTCGCACTGTCTCAATTTAAAAGGCTGATGATTTTCTTATGAGTCTGTATTTACAAGTTAATACTTTTAACAGTGCAGAAGTCATCAAAATGAGCATATCTGTACCTGAGAATTAAACTGTTTATTAAGGAAACTATTAAAATATACAGCTTTAACATCAGCCTTTTTTTGTTGTTAATGTTCTTGTGGAAGCACACTGTAATATAGACAGATTCCATCTCTCTCACAGCTGCCTGCACTAACACATGGTATCCCCAATGGGCAATTATCATGATAAAATAGATGTCCGCTCTGAAGCAAATAGCTATGTCCTGGCAGCTGCCCATGATAAACCACGGAAAAGTGGTTCAGCATGTGAAAAAAAAAGTCCTTTGGATGACCAGAATTAAAAAACAAAAAATAAAGGAAGTAGTAGTTTAGGAAAGGAATAGGCTTGTTTGCTTGTATTCAGTTCTCCCTGGTTGTGTACCGCATATCACATAGAATATACTGATGGGTGGGTATAGTGGGACAAACAGACATATAGCAGGCTGGTGAGTGAGTGGCACAAGGAGAGATGAAGGTGATGCTTTTTGTATTTGGGAAGGGAAAAACATTAGGTTTAGCAGCTACCTAAGTATCCTCACCCAGGTGATCTTTGATAAGCATCTTGAGAGGATTAAATCTTATGGATTATGTATAGCCCCCTCCTATTTCAGTATGACAAAGTTCACAGTAAATAGAAGAAAAGTAAGCTTTTATACTCATGAAGAAAAATCCTGACAAACGTACTCTACTTTCGTGTACGGAATTTCTTTCAGTTGCTCCTCAGACAGGCCAGATGGATCCACAAGTTCCTTCCTGGAAAGAATTAGGCAAAGTAAATAACAATACTGTAACTACCAACTGCACACCATTCTTTTTTTCTTTTTTTTTTTTTCATGTTAGGTTGGAAAAAATCTACTTAAACAAGTTGTTTTCAGCCTTGAAGCTATCTTGACATCAAAACAGAAAACCTATTAAGAAATATGTCTAAGATTGCTTTCAACTGCATGCCACATCCAGTTCTATCTTCTTCTCATTCTCTGCAACCTGATCTTGTTGCTTCACATGAGATATTGATATTTACATGAATATTGTGAATACTGAACATTGACTATTTCTTGGAATAGCTTACATCTCCCTATGCAGTACGCATGGCGGAATATGGCACTTCCTCATAAAACAAGAAAGAGTATCAAACTCAGGACATTTTGGAAGCCCCATGGGAATACATCTTTAAAACATTCTATTTTTTTTCTCTAACTCAGCTAACATATGATGGGCTCCTGTATTCAGTGATCTGAAGCATTTTTTACACATAGCCAAGTAAATTAATTTACACCTCTAAAATTAATGTACTGTGACACATAAACAAATCAGAACATTATGTGTTACAGCCACAGTGCATGGCGTGTGAATAGCAGGGCAATGCAGCAGTCAGTCAGACCCTATGAGGACAGTACTTACTGGATATGTTTCCACAGTTGCTCTTTAGCTTGTACATCTGGACTTCTCCTAAACAACCAAGGAAAACAACAAATGCAAAACTGTGAAGACAGTTATCAGAGATATACTGCTGTTCGATAACTTCTCAGGGCACACACTGAGCTAAGAAATTATGGCAAGTATAATCCACTAGTGACTTCAATTTAAAAGTTTACTATATTGGTAAACACATTAAAATGCATTGCTTTATTGAAACCACAAAGCCCTTTCCTGAACCAGAGCTTCTAAGGGACATCACCATTTCTGTTCCATTGCCCTTCAGCAAAAGCATCAGCAAAACACTAAGGACAGAACAAGTTCTCACTGCAAGCCAAGCCTGGGTCCCGCTACTGCTGTTCCCTCAGCCCCAGCTGCTGGCCCAGCTGAGGACAACCTGCTTGGGAATTACACCTTGTGGTCCCTGAGAAACCTCGGGAATTACACCTTGTAGTCCCTGAGAAACCTTGGATGGGACCACATCCATGGGCAGGAAGTGGGCGGCTGATCCAGTCATGCCGGGCCAACAGATCAGGAATCGCTGCTCATTCCAACCAGAATGGAGAAGCTCCTGTTAGGCTCTCATCAGTCCAGCCTCAGACTTTCTGGTGGTTTGCAAGTAAGGTACCTGCTCAGCTCGTTTATACCTTAGCTTTGACATACCTAGGACAAACAACAACTGCACATGCACACAAACACACAAAATATTTCAGCAAGTACTTCATTTAAGGATAAATTGCTTAGAGAAAGTTGTAATTATTTGGTTGCAGACAAGGAGACTCAGTAAAGAAATTCTGATTACATGTCTCTCATTTCCAGGAAATTACAGAAAATACTGTATCCTAACTGGATTGTCCTTTCTTTTCCTTTTTTTTTCTTTTTATTTCTATTTCTCTTTTTCTTCTCACATGAGCATGAAACCACTACTGTTGCTGAAGTTGCAACTAGAAATCACCAAAAGCTATGCAATTTAACAGATTAAATATATGCTTTACATAGTGGCAGGGACTAAACTGTATTAAGAGATCAGAACGCTCTTATTGTTGGTATTATATAAATTCAGAATAGGCAGTTAGCCTGTGCCACAAGGATGGGTCAAAAGGATCAGCATGCCTAAATGCTCTCCCAGAAATCATAGCTTCATCAGATCACAGCCTTTTCTTAAAAAAAAAAAAATTAAAACCAACGAAAATATACAAAAAACCCCAAAAGATCTACCAAAATCAAAGACACTTTTGGAATTATGCAATCCACAGATTTAAAAGAAGATCAAGGAAGAGGGCAGAATTTTGTCTGTTAGCTGCAACGCATCTTTTTAATTGACTCTGTTGCCCAGTGACAGAGCTGTATCGGAAATAACCCCAAACTATTCTCCATCACTAATCACTTTAGTATGTTTTTGTTTTGCTATTATGTGTTTGGCTTACTTCCAAGCTTTAGTCTGAGAATAATGTTCAGAGACATCTGCATTTCAGTAAATGGTTTACTGAGGGCACAGAAGCACATTATTTAGAGAGTATTGTTGTTACTTTTTTTTTTTGTTTTACATTTCACCATTGCAGAAGTACTCGAAGACTTAGTTTGATGATGCAAAAATAACAGAGAAAAGACAAGAAAGGCAAGGAACATCTTTACATTTGTAATTCCCTAGTGGGACTAACACGAACGTTACTAACACGTAACGTCCTCGAGTTGGTGCAGGCAGCACCGAGCAGCCACGTCCCAGGGAGCCCCGTCCTCTGCGAGGCCACTCAACGGGCCAGGTCCCCACAGGGGCATCCACAGACATCAGGTGCATCAGCTGCAGCTGCAAGGAGCTTGCAAGGAGCTTGCAAGCTGGCCTTTCACAGTGAAGAGGTTGTGCAGGTTTATTTTAATGTATTTCACTTTCTCTGATTCTCACTTCGCCTCTTTCCTTCTCTCTTCTTGCATTTACTTCTCTTTACTCTCTTCCATACATCAGTTCATATTATTCTTCACTGCCCAAGGCAGTAGCTTGGAATGCAGTGGTTTCTAACAGCCTTTTGCCCCTCAATTTGAATTGATTTCTGCTTCTGTGCATCTCCTGCTCACAAAACAGCAGCTGCAAACTCCACATTCACCCTGGGGCTGGGAAGTTAGGCATCCTCTTCTGAGAAGGAATAATCAGGCAGTGGGGAATGCAAAACCCAGTGAAAACCCAGCTTCTCCAGGGAGGCTTTGTAATGCTTACAAGCCCTAGTTTGCCTGAGGAAGGGGAGCCCGAAGGTCACTCCCTCGCCCAGGGCTCCCACAAAGCAGGGTATTGTGCACATCAATAACCCATCTGATTTGTGCACTGCTTTTACTTATTCATTGAAACCCACCAGCTGGGGATGTGGTCCCAGGTGTCCCAGTGCCACCGAACATGGGGCACAGCCTCACCTGCAGCAAGGAAACACTAACTTACAGAGCAGTGTGGGAACACAGCAGCTGAGCAAGGCGCTTAGCACTCCTTCATCTCACCACTCGCTAGGAACTGGGACTCCTGCTTCCTATGGCCACCTCTGGGCCAACTCTCCCACCTCCTCTTCCTTGCCGTTCCTCTGCAACTACATTAATAAGCGAATAATCGCTGTAAAATGCCAGTAAAACCACATACTGCATGTTATGGGAAGAAAAAGCATGAAGGAAAGGAGCTATACACAATCCTTGCTCAGAGTAAACCAGTTTTAGGAATTTGTGTCTTGACATTCTCTATCTTCCAGGAGTTGAAGAAGTGCTATGATACTGGGATAATGTCACAGCATTTATTCAAATGAATATCCAGAAATAGAGCTAGTGTATCCCAATAAAAGCATTTTTACACCATAGGCCTGACTGTGCACCCTCGAAGGACAGCAGAAATACTATCACTCTAAGATGAAAAAAAGCTTATAGAAAGACAGACTTGCCAGGGGGAAGTGTAGCTAATGTAAATATATAGTATGAAATGCACGTGTAGTTCTCAACAACACATAACCAGGAGATCCTTCTATTAGATCTTTAATGCCAGATCACAATCCCTCTTTCACACCCTCTCTCATTTGAATTGTATCTGCATTCACAGTTTGGACACATAAGATATATTCAGACCGTCCTACTGCAGTACCTGAATCAAATTTTGCACAGATAATAGCTTCTGGACAATTTGCAAGCTAATCGGATTCTCTAATGAGCACAAAGCCAAATGGGAATTCACAGTAAGTGGTGAGCCTCCAGGGTTACTTTTTGTTGTTATTTGCTTTTTACAAGCTCAAACAACCCCAGACGTTAATAAGGTCTACATTATTTTTTATGTCTGCATCTGCACCCTTATTAATAATTCAATTTGATTTCATGATTCACAAATGGTAAATTTAAATAGCCATGGAATTTTAACAGACATTCTTCTTAATTAAAAAAGCCCTTTGGCTATGCAGATGTTTTACTCGAGCTCTTGAAAATAAAACCCCTAGAACTAGAATGGGGAGCTTTCTGTTTCTTTTAGAAAAAAGAAAGGTCAATTTCTTGTCAAATATTTTTATTCCTGAGACCATGGGGAATCCCCCCCACGCTTGGCCTTACACACAGACTCACAGCAGTGATTGATACTACACTCATTATCAAACAAATTAAATGCACTTTGTCAGATGTGGTAACAAATATTTCAATCTTTACGTGAGATTTCCAAAGAGAACCTCTAGGTAAGCTGACAGCAATAAGTAACTTAATGGGAAAGATTTATTTGTATTATTAAAACAAAGGTTTTGTGTCAGTTATTAAATGTGCATGCTGAAGTGACCATATACCCATATTTAAAAGTAAATGCAACAATGCCTACATCCTAGAGATTCACCTGTTTCCCTTCTCTCCAGCTTGCATACAATCATGCAAGCAACCGAGCTGAACTAAATTAAACTTATAGCCTACTGCAACTAGGGTTTATCCATCATGTTTGATTTGACTCTCAGTTAAAAGCCTTTTACCAGATATTTTCTTTTTTAAAAGCACCTTTAAAGGAATTCACATTATCCTTTCCTAGCTCACATGTGCGTACATTGAGGTGCATGATAGTGAAACTTATATTCATTGCTATCACAATATGGCAGAGAAATGAGGACTTACCCAAATATTCAGAGTTTTCCTCCGTTCTTTGCTTTTTCTAGAATCCTGCCTTGTTACAAATGATACTACACCCTTATGCTTTTTTGCTATCAGTACTTTCAGAAAAATATAGACAGAATATCACTGCATTGGCTAATATTTTCTGGAGGGCAGATAAAATGTGTTTTGCAAGTTGTCAGCCACAAGAGGGAGTCTGTGCTGCCCAAGCACGAACTTATTTGGCACATGGAAGGAGGAAAAAAAAGGCTATAAATTTCATCTAGCCATGCACCCATAAACTGAATGCATTTCCTAGTTTATAGCACTTTCTGTATACATTGCAAAACTGTAAATCAATCAGTCTGTATAACTGTGCCTTCAATGCAAGTGAGTTTCAATACTCCTGATTTTTAGTACTCTATCATTCTACAATTACACCTAATAATACTTGACTTCTGTGCAGTTGAGAGCAAACAGGTTTGTCCAAAGCTAGTAAAAATAGAAATTCCAACATTTGGAATTTTAACAATAAATACTATTTCTCATAAAGGAAGCTATGGAAAGGTACTGGGTAGCTATGAGAACAGAACTACAGCAGATTTTAATACTGGAAATATCAATGCAGATTGCAGTTCCAATAGGTTAGAATAAAATAGTTATACACTTCATATGCTGCACATTCTTTGCATGCTTGCATATGATTTTCTTAGAAATGGGATGAATAAATCCTCCCAATCAAGAACAAAGTGTTTTCTTTAAAAAAATAATTAACTATACCTACACAGTCTTCTATGAGACCAAACCTCCTTCCTTCCTCCCCTCATGCTTCATTTAGAGGCTTATTGGGGTAGGGCAGTAAAAATTAGTATTCCGACTTAGCTACAATAACATTTCACTGATTAAATCAGGTAGAATTATCCTTCCCTTCATGAGGCTAAGCCTAGTCTTTGTACGAAGAACTAAAAAGGGACAAGAAGCATTCACCACATTTTGCTCAAGGCAGAGATTTCTGTGCCATGGGCTGATAAAAGTCAGCACTGTTGTTCTTTCCTAACACCCTGCATGCACATGAACATCAGGAAACCCAGGACACTTCCTGCTTGGGAAATGCTGCAAAGCCAAAGTCTTTAAGGTGACTCAACATTGAATCCTAGTATCTTGTAACAAATACTTATTATTCCTTAAACTACACTAAAATGTTTACTCAGAGAAATAAAATTAGCAGTTCAAGGCAATACATTTTGTTTAAGTCAGTCAGGAAGATAAAATAATTTAGAATAAAAGCAATCACGTTAAGTAATTACACTGACTTACAGTGGTCATACATAGGCTTCACAGCGGGACAACTGTCCATTTTAGCAAGGCAATGTGGGGATGTAGTTTCCAAGACTGCACTCAGAAGAGCCTCACAGACTTTGCCTGCCTTTACGGCGGCTCTCCTGGCCTTGCCCAGCACCCAACCTGGCCCTGTGGGCCTCGGGGCTCCCCGACACCAACACTGCGCTGGGCACTTCCTTGGGACGCACACGAGCCTTCGAACAAGCACAGTCCAAACCCACGCGTCTAACGGCCCCAGATGAACCAGATAAAAGCAATACAGCCATAATAAAAGCAGTATTTCCATTTGTCTGAGAGAATTCATTTTAGAAACTGACAATGGCTACCAGTAGGAATAGCACTGCCTAGCAACACGGCCCTGCCACGGAAATCCTGGCATCAGGACATAATAAAACACTCACTGCTGCTTACAAATGGTAATTTGACATGGAGACTACACTAGCCGGAACAACGCTGCACAGATTATGCTAAAGAAATGCATGCACACTTGCAAAAATACCTGCACCTCTCACTGAATACCAGGACAGGCTGCACAGAGTGGGGCACCACTGTCCTCTTTACAAAACTAAGGTTCAGTGAGCCACAAAACATCCCAATACCTCGTTCAAGGTAATAGGAGGGCATTACTGTTCAAATCTGTCACAGAGCCTATGCCACATTACTCTTACCCTCAAATTCAAACCACTATAGAAAAGGAGTCAGGACATAAGGAGATGAACTGTGGACCAACATGAGAATGTGCCCAGTGAAAGCCCCTGTTCCTCAACAGCTCAGGGGAGTATCTACACTGCAGACAGCAGAGAGTCCTCCTGTTTTTTAACGTACCACAGCAGCCTTGATTTTCAAATTAAGGTGGAATAACTGTACATACGATCGAGATCTGTGCCGGGATCGCCGGTAGTTGGGATCTGCTTGGTTCTTCTCCTTCTGTCGCCGCAGCACAGCTTCCCACTGAGGAGCCGAGTCCACCATGTCATTCTCCTGCCGTAACCTGCAAAACAAGTAGCAGGACTTCAGTAATTCAAGAGCTCTGTCCCCAGATGTTTTGAGGAAGGGATCGGTATTTTTTCCCTCGCCGAATTCCTGATGCTATTACGCAGTATTTTAGCTTTTCATCTTGCTATATTTACAATGTCCATTAATGTTCCCAAAATATATTAATGTATAAGAAACTGTACTGAAGGTACTTCATGGATTTGTTATTTAGCAACATAGCTTAGGACAAAAATGAATCACTCTAAGCCAGTAAAAACAGGCCTGCATTTGAATTCAATTTGTTTTCTTGGCCCAAGCCAAATGTATGGAATTTCTTCCTTACTGTATTTAGCTTTTTAAGTTAACCTCACCTCAGGCAAACAGAAGTCCATTACAGTGATGCAAGGCTGCAACTATTTCCAAACTTGTTGCTGCAGCACAGCCACTGTGGGACACTGGGAAACTCCCCCAGGGATGTCCCGTCCAAGTTCCTGCTCCTGTTGCCCTGGCCTGCAAAGCAGCCCGTGAGGGCTGCAAGGGCATCATGTAAACCTGTCATGTTCCTTTAGCTTAACAGCCTGAGCTCATTCTGCAACGACACAACTAGCCACAACAAGCAGCGTGCAGCTCTGCGGCCCTTCGAGACCCAACAGGAGCCTCTCAGCTGTGGCTGCTGTGATGAGTTGTCTGCTGTGACAGCGTGACTGGCATGTTGAAGAAACCAGGGAAGTGTAACAAGAAGGGGAAGACTGACAGGTAAAACAAACAAACCAACAGAGATAACCGCATTACAGTGGAGACCTTATTCCCCAGCAAATGCAAAGCATGTTAATGTCATTTCTCCTCTCTAATTCCATGCCTTTCTAGTTGAGTTTTGAATTGTGTCAAGCTAAACTGGCTAAGCAGGCTGCTGCTTCTCTTTTGATCAGATCTTCTCTCACATGTGTAATGAATTTTGAGTAGGATCCTCAGCTGCTGTAAACCCTGCCAACTCTACCAAATAGCACCAAGCATCTGGAGTAGACCACGACATGACATCAGGTTTGGATTTGTAAGCATGCCTTTTTCGATCTGTAATCTGCTGGCGACAGGGATTAGTACAAACTACAGATTTAACACAAGAACTCACACAGCAACAAGTAATGGACTGTGATTTTCATCCTGGATAATCCAATTTGTGGGGACAAGCAACCATCCCCCTCATGGTATGAGCAGCATCTGCTGCTCTGCACATGCTGCTCTGGATGCTGCAGCTGCCAATTTCCCAGTTGTCCCCAGGGAAAAGCACCTAACATGTCAAGCAGACAGCTGGGCTCCAAGGCAGACACTGGGATGCTGGCTGCAAAACTACTGGGAATTACCCAGTCTGAACAAAGGAGCTGCCCAGAAAAGCAGAGCACAATGTCCATGCGCTGAGTGCACGGGATTCTGCCTCTCCCAGGGAAGCACTGGGAATTACCCCCCTCTGCCGGCCACATGCTCTGCTAACCTGCCTTTGATGAATGACCTCTCATTAAAGCAGCAAACGCATCACTTTTCTGGGACATTTTACTAATGGAATCCTTGGGGGATGCAAGGGAGCCAAATTGCAGTGATAACAGAAAAATGCTCTTCTGCACTGATAAAAGTCTCCCCATTCTAACAGCAAAGAAGGACAAAAGAAGAGATGACTTCAGAGAACACGACAGCAGGCAACAATATATGAAGTTTACAGCAAAATTCAGCCATAACCAACAAAAATTCAAATTGCATTTTCAATGTCATTTCAAGTCCTTTTTTGAACAAGACACAGCAATAAGCAAAACAAAACAAAACAAAACCCCAATAAGAGTACATAGAACATACTGGTATAAAATGGTACGGTAGGGAAATTCCCAAATCTGGGACCATTGTAAAATGAGATTTTACTCCTTTGAAGTTTATTTTCATTCTCTTATACTGCAATATATTTTCCTTCCTTAATTTCTTAGGGAACCAAAATTAAAAAATAATAATAAAAAAATGGAAAGTAATCCTTCAGTTGATCAAACTCAGGATTCTACAATTTTTGCTCCTTGTAAAAAGCCACTGAAAAACTTTAGCATTAGGCAACAATGTCCTAATAGTAGGCAAACAAAGACAGAAGTATATTTTTACCATAGCATTAAAAGAGCAAATGTATTTCTTCATAACACAACCGAAATATGCTCATTATTGGTTCTTTTTCAATTACTTATGAACATTCATTTAGAATAAAATACTCGTAAGATGGACTGAAATCTCAAAGGCTGAGATCAAGCAAACAGTTTTGCTCGTTCTTCCACTGTTTTATGTTCAGAATGTCACAACTGCACTTCATTTTTTTTTCTGATGGATTTGTTTTCATCTGATAATGCCTTCACAATGATCTCCTCCTGTGAACAATACAGTCTATTCTTCTGTGATCAGAATCAGATTCTTTTGAAAAATCTGAGAATTGGGCATTTTATCCCACAACACAACTTTTTTTTTTTTTTTTTTTTCTGCTTGTGCTATTGGCCTTATCACAGTACTGGAAAATAAATTTCTATTTATTTTTTAATCCAGGCAACATATGAAGTCTGAGTAATAACAGTGCAAGCTTCCCAGTATTGTCCCATTTAACCCTGCTAAGGCCGGCTCACCTCTCAAGAGGAAAGCAATTCAACAGCCTGTGCCCAGCCATGTATTACACTCTTCCTGCAGCTGCTAACAAAACGCAGAAATTCTGCATTTCAGTTCACAACTGGTGGTTTTTATGCACCTGATGACAAGCAGCAAGTCTCCAATGTACAGCTCATTCTGAGCTTGCTTACTGTAACACTGAAACAACTTTTGATCTGATCTGATTTTAAGCGACCACCTACGGATAAGAAATTCTACAACATTAACATTTTTTAATATATCTTATATTCTGAAAATGTTAAACAAATGTAAAAATACTCAATAACCATATGAAGTCCTTTTTATAAAAAAAAATCTTAACATTAATTACTTCAGCAGGAATTGAAGAAGGGTAGGTAAAGGTCCTTATATTCTTCAAAAAATTATAAGCCCTACTTAAACCTTCTTAAAATTCATTCCTTATATTGCAAGAAGCTCTTAAAAACATTCTTGTGGTCAGTTTCTAATTTCCTTCAGTTGTGTGTGTAGTCTTCTGAACAACAAATTTCACAGGGAAAAAAAAATGAAACTAAACTAATCACTGAAACTAAAGTCAGTGTTTCATTCACACTCCAGAGCTCTGACTGGAAAAGAAATCTTTCATACACACTAAGTTATTGTTAACCAAGCATGATGTAAGACTATGTTCTGATTTAAATAAACTCTAAAGAAATTTCATAGCTCAGCTATGCTTCCTACCAGCCTATTCTGAACGTGTATTATTGAGCATCCTTACCTACCTCATGTTATATATACATATATAAAAAATAATAAACTACTATTATACTAGAAACTTTTGCAGAACTTTACAAAGCACATGCTTCTGCTTTAATGTATCTAGTACACAGTTATTTCCAAGAGCTTTCAAATATTTCAAAATTATTTAGCACTTGCAGCACTGCAAGATAAAAAAGTAGTTATGGCAGCTCGTGCGGTGTTTTTAAGAAGTCTGCATTAAACAATTCTTCTGTCAAATGACAGTTTTTCTGTGTTTTATGCAATATTAAAGAACTCAATGGGTTTTTAAAAAATCAATTTTAATGAACAACTCTCAAAATATTGTTATCTCAAGTGAAATATAAGTAGCTGTTGTAAAGCAAAAAAATTGCTACAATCAATTAGTTGTTATATCAGTTTTCACTTATCAGCAATAAGCAAAAAAACCCCAAAATTGTTAGCATCTCTCAATATTAACTGCTGCTATCCTATTGAAAGCTGACATTGCACACATTTAAATCTAGGCCAACACTTCACAAAATATTTTTAAAAGTTTAATATGTGTATTTAAAAACAACAACAAGTTGTAGATTCCTTCAAAAACATTTCTAAGATTCTTCCCAAAAGCTTATTTCTTGCCAGAATTCGACATATGAAATTTTTGAGGATGTTGAAGTACGTACTGTAAATATGTCATCACCATTTTCCATTTTATTTGCATTAGTATTTCAAGTCTCTTATAAATGTGTGTCAGTTTTTGATTTTACAATTCATTAATGAGCTCTTCCCTAAACACAAGGATGACGGCACACATCTATAGCATTTAATGTGATTTGGTAATTATTTCCCTTTTTATTCAAACATGGACATTAAGCTAACTCAGAAAGACTGCACACAAGTAAAACATGCTGTGTTCTTTTTTACCTGCTTTTAGCCTGTATCTTCTTTTTACCTCTTTTTACCTGCATCTGCTTTTGTGTTTCATATTTCTATATCTAAAATACAGAATGGTCACCTGTTTCTCTTCTTCCGATGCTCTCTGTTAGAATTTTCTGATTCACTGCCACTGCTGGTGTTACAACGGGACCGAGACCTGGAGAGGAAAAAAGCAATGTAGTTCAGGAACTAAACAAACATACCATATTTGAGTCTCTCTCTCTCTCACAATCTATTAACATCTTTCAAAACATGAAACAGAAATAAGAAGTCCTCCTTGTCAGTTGTTCCCTTCCATTAAAACATTATAGAAGTAGCAAAATTCTAAAGGAATGAACAACACTGAGGAAACATTAATTAGAAAAATCAGGGTTAAGAAAGAGTCTAGAGGGCTTGTCTAAACATGTCTTTCTCTCATTAATTACTTATGAATACCTGCTTTATCATTACTCATCCAGAAAGCACTGTCAGGTGAATGCTGTTTTCCCTTTGAATCAATGCAGTTCATTTTCATTTAAGCTCTCAGCATTCTTTGATATTATGCCACAGTGAAAAAATGCTTTGAAATGGGAAATGTTTTGCCTTTGCACTGTATCCATTCTGCCATTTTCCTTACTCTGTGCAGCGGGGCATCCAACAGAATGTATGCAGTAATCCTGGTATTGGCAAGCAAGCGAAAATGTTCACTACATTTCTCTCTATTCACTTCATCTTCCGCCTGGCTCTGCAAGCCCCTGTCATTTTCCAAGTGTCAGGCAGCATGGAGGAAACAGGAGCACGGAACACCATGATTCTGGTGTCCTCATCAATGCAGAAAGGCTGTACTGGGCAGGCTGGCAGATGCCATCAGCATAGCTTTGAGATGACTTGAGGCAGAGCTACAAAGGTAGAGCATCACATGAGGGAGAAGGAAATAAAGCACCGGCTCCTCTGTCACCTCTCACTGAGGAGCTTCAAATGGTAAGGTGACATTTTTAGTGCTGATTATTTATTACTGAAACAATCAGCTGGCACAAAAGCAGAGAGACAACACTGACAGTTGAACTCCAAGGAGAAAAAATCACCATGAGAATTTATCCTGCAGCTGGAGTCATGGGGATACACCTACCTACAGGTAAGTTCCCCTTGGCACAGAGAAGTGCTTGGTAATTACTAGCTTAAAATTAAAAGCTTCAAATACTTGATTGCCATTGATTGACATTTTGGAGCAGACAGACCAGCTGTAGTCCTAGAAAACAGGATTTTGTTACTGTGCTCTGGGCTGGGTCCTAAGAAAATGGTACTGTTTGAGAGTTTGATGCTGTTTGAGAGCATCCCTGGGGTTTACAATACTTGTTTCGGACCATTCTTTGCTGAGTGTGATGATGGTTTCAGAATGCCTCAACAGAAATACACGTTTCTCTGCATTTGCCTGCAGTGTAAAGTAGTTTTGCTCTGAGATGTCTGGGCATGAAACAAGAGATTAGGAGACGACTCTTGTTACCATTGACAGATAGAGAGGATCTTGTTCATCCCAACTTTTCTTTGATGAGCCACTTGGACAAGAGAGCCTGCTTATTAAACTACCCTCAGATAAGCTGAAGAGTGGAACTGCCCATCACAAGAGCGTACTGGTCAGTGGGTGTTTCATGCTAGGGCTGGATGCCCATCCCAAGGATGTCCCTGCTCACCCTATCGTCTGACCACCCCGAGAGAAGAGCTCAAGGAGACTCCCTTGGAAGCAACCAAAGCTACTCCTTAAAAACAAGATAGGTGTCCGTCTGTCAGAGCTGCCTGTCTCATGAATCTTTCCCTAACAACCATGAATTACAGTATTTTTTTTTTTAAAAATTGCTGTCATTAAACGCCTCTGATTGGAATCAAGAGCTCAGCATGGAGGATGGTATCCCCTCTCTCCAGGAGCACTGTCTATAGACAACGGGAATCATTCACTCAAATGGCTCCCTTTCCAACAAAGCATTTTAGAGTAACAGGAGTATTTTAGAGTAACAGGACAACCAAAGCCTAAGAAACTCAGTTCAAGAAACTCAGTTTGTCTGCAGGGAACAGGCTTAGAAAAGCAAAATTTCTCCAAGAGAAGCAGAACCATATCCTCCCTCCCCACCTACAGTTTTACATGTTAAAAGCACTAAGAGGTTCAAGATAGCCAGTGTCCCAGGTAAAAATCTCTAGAGAGACCTGAAAGTGTGAATGAGACATATATTTCTAAAAAAAGTGTTATTCCAAAGGAAGAAGTAACAAAAGACAGTGTCCAAAGGACTCCAGCTCAAGTGTGTTCAAAACAGGTTAGAGAGCAATGAATGCACTACAACTGCAGTAGATCACATGTGCTCCAAATCTGACCATTTGTCCAGCAAGACATTTCCTACCAATCTCCACTCTCCATATTCTTAAGCCATCAAAGCAACACTCTTCTCTCACATTCCTCATGATTTCAAGTACCTTCTTGCTCTGTATTAGGCAACTAACCCCCAAAAGTAAGAAAGCATCAAGAAGCACTCTGTGCCAGGAAAACTGCAAGATAAACATCCTTATTTGCTCAAATTCATGACAGCTCCTCTTCTAGGTTTCCAGTAATTAAGATCTGACGCACTTTTTGTAATGTAAATCAATCGAACTACCTTGGGTTCCCTGTTGGGAAAGCACTTGCAGAGAGCGAGCAGGGCTGATGAACTGTCAGCTGAGTCACAGCTGCTCATGATAGCTGTCATTACATGTTCTTTCTCCCATCAACCTTACCAAAATGAATAAAACAATAAAAACAGAAATAAGGGCCATTCCTAAACTAAGTGCAAGAACATATAGGATTATGCTGACCTTCAATTACATCCTTTTAACTTTTTTTCCTTCATTCGAACATACACACAGACATGCCAGGAGGGGACATATGGGCATGGGAGGATGCAGGATCTGGTATTTTGGAGGTAAAACTGACACAGGGTTCATTCTGGCGCAGCCCTTGTGACTAAAATGAAAGGAAGGTAGCCAAATTGCAAGGAGGTCAAGAGTGTCTATTCCATTACACAATTCTGGTGTCTGGGACAAGCACATCTTCTAAACGTAATACAGCAGACCAGCTTTCGGGAAAAGGTCCTTTCTGAACCATGAGGTTCTGCACCTGAGATGTCAAACTAAACCATTTCTGCCTTGTGTTCTAGTCATCTACCATGGGACTTTGACTGGCAAAGCTTTACAGCAATATCCTTCGAAAAGTTCAGCTGTCTTACAACAGCCGAAAAGTACATAAACTTTCTCTGACTTCCTGTGATTGTCCCTGAGTTTTCTAAAACTGTGCCAGAGCTCCTTTCCTGCAGCAGTGCATCAGATCCTGGGAGTGTTTCCTCTGCTTTACAAGTTTCAACAGTTTTTGACACCAAAATGAACTGCACTGTCTCTTCTTTTCAGTGACAAGGGTGGGAGCACAAGAGCAGAGTAACACTGAGAAAAATCATTGCAATTTGAAGTGATGCTAGAGAAAAAAAGTATTTCTCAGAAGTTGCATTATGAAAGTGCATCCTTAGTTGCACATTGGTATTTTATTTTTAAGTTGACATCAGTCAAGACTGCACAGGAAAAAAAAATGTAGCAAAAATGAGATACAAGACTAGAAACTGAAATGAGAAGAGATCATCTCTACACCCACCTTTTTCAGGACAGTTCATCTCACATATCAGTTTACTTATTTTCAAAACAGGTTAACCAGTGTGACAGGTTAGACAATTCAGAACAAAATTTTCAGTATTGCAGATGTAAAATCTCAAACCCCAAAGCTCAGAAACTGACTTCCAAGTTGCAGGAAAGCCTCCAAGAAGCTTCCACACACAACTTACAACATAGTGTCATAGCAATGTGCATCTTGCATTAATCTGGGCTGTAATGGGCTTATGCTATAGAGCATTTTAGCAAAAGAAAGGCAGGAAAGAAAAAGATCTATGTGTAGAAAACAGCAACCCTTTTAAACATTCAGGAGGATGGGGAAGGAGGGAAGGAAGGGTGGGAATGCAGGGAACTAAAACATGATTAGTACCTTTGTTATCACTTCATCACTAGTAGGCATTATATATTTACCTTCTCCTTTGCTTTAAATCTGAATCTTCACCACTGTTTTGCGCTTTCCTATGACAGTAAGGAAGTTTTGATGAAATACCATTGGGTCACTTAACACAAATACAGAAAAGCAATCATCTTTTCCAACAAATCCTTCACATTGATTATTTCTTAGTAGGATTTAAGGCAGATTAAAAATAGGCATGTTCTTGTTTTAAACTTTGCAGGCCACCTTCACAACAAGCTGCAAAGGTATGACCCCATTAAAGCTCCCATTACAAACCCCAGACATGCAAGGTTGAACACAGTCATCTGACGTTTACAGCTTCCTACTGTTCCAGCAAAGCCAAATATTTTCCTCTTAATTCCAGTAAGGATCATATAAAGAACATGGCTATTGTTGTTGAACAATATGAGAAAGGAAAGTGCATGAATAAAACTCAGGATTCAGGAAGACATAATTAGGTTAGTATCTATTGTCAGTTTTCACAGTCTCATATGAGAGATAAGACTTTAAAAAATATTTTGGTGGTGTTGTGACCCAAGAGACAACTTATTATTGGCATAAACACCTGTCTACCTAGTAGATGAGTCAAATGAAAATCCCAGATGAGAAACACTTTGCATCTCAAAAAATCCCCTCCTGCATGGTATACAAACATTATTCTTTTCATGATACAAGACAGAGGCTTTTTGCACTGCACATCTATATTCCTTTGTTTTTGCAGAGCCCAGCAAGTCCTTCTGACACAGAAGCTAGAAATGAATCATAAAATAAATTTCAGGAAATATGTTGCTATTAACACTCATAAGCACGATGTCCAATAGAGTAAATTAACATTGCTGCATTGGCTTAAAGAGATCTATAAAAGAATACTATAAATATTGTCTACAATGCATTGCAAATCATAGCACTGGGATATCTTAGCTAGCTCAGATGATGAAAGCACTTTCTCAGCAAGGCAAATCAAATCATTCCAGGTAAGATGCAGTCCCTCAAAATTGTATCACTTCAGGATCTGAACTGTCCCTGTAATTTGCATTTTGGCCATACTTCAGAAGACGCATCACAGAATCTCCGTGTCACTTCTTTTAGTTACTCAATTCAGCACATAACCATTAAAAACACATTAAGTAATCACAGTTTTATTTTTACTGGCATACTCTCTAATGTAAAGTACTTCACACAAGGGACTGTTGAAAACAGCCTAATGGCTCACATGGTTGCTGTACTTAAAAAGCAAGGCAATATACCTACAGCAGAACAGTGTTCTGTATCAGAAGCTCAAGTCAAATAATCCTCAATCCTCTGCTTTACAAGGGAAGAGTTTAGTTGCTGCACCAACTAAAAGGATCTTGCAAGCACAAATACTGCAAGTCCTTGGATTTTCACTATTTTTTTTCCTGGTATCAAGAACAGCAAACAGGCAAAAAGCCTGACTGGCACTTCCTCTTCAAAAGCAGGTCTGGCATTTCATTAGTCTTGTTCTGCACTGACATTTGACCCCTAAGGCACTGATTTTCCCAGGACCCAGCCGTGTTGCCACACAAGAGCCCTGACTGAGGGCAGAGCATGCAGCACCACAAGATTTCTACATAAGAAGGTCACACTGGCGAGCCTCAGTGCTCTTACCTCCTGCGGACCGGCTGCCCAGACTCATTTTCACTGCCACACGATGGGTTCCGTCGCCGAGAGTAAGGAAACTTTGGTGATTTATTGCGGTCACTGGGAGAATTATACAGCCCACTAGAATGAGAAAAGAAGAACAAAGAAATGACCTTTGAAACTTCCAGGAAACTTAAGTCAGCTAACTCACACTCAGTCTACAGTCTAATTCAGTCTAATAAGAATGGACGAAACTGTGCACACACACACGGGTATATACACTTCCATGTATATATAGCACATGTGCTATATAAGAACAAGTAGCATTGCTTTCCAGGAGTAAGTATTTACATTTAACCTTGAAAACACAGGATAGAGCCCATCTACAGAGCACTGACACCCCAGCTCTCATCTTACAAAAGGTACCACCAAGTGTATATGCTTCTTTTAGCATAATGCAGTTTTTGTACTTTAATATAACTTTCCTGTACTTTAGAGCTGAGAACTAGACATTCAAAGGTACCTACACTCCTTATATACTTTTTCCAGGAACAGAGACACTAAAACAGTGTAAATATCCTGAGGTGTTTCCTCACCAAAAGGCTAACACTCAGGATCCTGGAACAATTTTATCTTTCACTCTCTACCGCTATATAATCCTTTGTCATTGACAAGGAAGTGTTTCAAGCTTCAGGTTATGTATCTTAGTCTTCAAGTCACGTACTTGTGTTGGACTCAAGGCGGTAAGAGAGTTAAACATAAGACTGTACTTCTGATTAAAAAGTGCTTGTATGAACTGCTCTGTAGTGTCTTCCTACTGAAATCTAAGAAATTCTTCAAATAGTTTAGTAGAGTTTATGGTAGAGCACAAATTACTACAATTACTTAGAGATGCAATCACAGAACTGCAGTTATTTGGATGAAGTATGCAAAGGTCATCTTAATCTAATGTTACTTAGTCCTTTTTACAACAGGTATGTAGTAGTAAATATGATATTCTCACCAAATTCCAGTTAAGGTATTTCTTTCTGCTTTCTCAAACCCTCTAGTCTTTAAATCAGATTCACTATGTTGGCTACTTCATGACAACACTGCTCTGCTCAGTTAAGCTGCCATAGTCCTCAAAGTGAATGCATTTCAGAATCAGAAAATCTTTATTAAAAGCTATACAATCCTCTGTGCAGCATACAGCCTTTCTTATGTTTTCAAATCCGCATAGTCCTTTAGAACAGAATTTGTAAAATTTTAGCTGTTAGCATATATATTTTGTTCTATTCCAAGAACTATTTCAACTCTGAAGTTGTAATATGGCAAGCTGACACTGCTTCTTCTTTAAATATCAATTAAACATCTACCTTAGCCAAAGAATACTGACTCACTGCTTTGTTCTTACTTTGAAAGGTCTTGAGATGTATAATAGGACCAGGGTAAATCTCATGGTGTCTATAAGCATATAGGAACTTCAGCAAAAAATTGCCAGGTAGCACAGTATGCACAGACATGTATCATGACACAAAAGTCATACTGATCATACTGCATCAGGTGGGAAATGTGTATTACAGATCCACCAATACTCTCAGTCCCCAGCTGTGTCCAGCACAAAGGACTTCCCAACCATGTGCTGTTCCTCACATATAGAAGCCCTCAGTGGATTTCTCTTCTGAGTAGTGACCCTGTGTCACTTAAGCACTCATCAATTTTGAGTATCCCTGCTAAAGGAGAACAACATGTCTTGCTCACTAGGAGTCCCTAATCCTTCTGAGTGCTTTTAAACTGCTCCTAATGACCTCCATCTCACACTCCCAAGTTCCAACACTGGAAAAATACAACAATTCTTGACCTCTATCCTCTCTATATATACTACTCATGATTTTCTACATCTCTATCACTTTCTCTAAAATTGTCTCTCTTCCAGATTGAATTTCCAGACTGAACTGCCCACACAGTGATGCCTTTTGCATACTTTGCTCCCCATGATGTGGAGCTTCTAGAGAGGGTCTAGAGGAGGACAACAAAGATAATTTTAAGGGACTTGAACATCTCTCGTACGAGGAGAGACTGAGTGAGTTGGGCCTGTTTAGCCTGAAGAAGAGAAGGTTGAGAGGGAATCTGATCACTATATATAAATATCTGAGGGGAGAATGTAGGAAGGAAGGGGCCAAACTGTTCTCAGTGGTGGCCAGTGACAGGACAAGGGGCAATGGATGTGAGTTGAAACACAGGCAGTTCCATCTGCATGTGAGGAAGAACTTCTTTCCTGTGAGGGTGACAGAGCCCTGGCACAGGCTGCCCGGGGTGGTTGTGGAGTCTCCTTCTCTGGAGGTCTTCCAAACCCACCTGGATGTCACCCTGTGCCCCGTGCTCTGGGTGTCCCTGTTGGAGCAGGGGGTTTGGACTAGATGATCCCTAGAGGTCCCTTCCAACCTCAGCCATTCTGTGATTTCCTTCACAGTCATTCATACCCAAAATCACCTCTCAAAGCCTTTTGCACCTTTACCCAGAACCTTTCCAGGATAAAGACTTCAGAACCGCACTTGTTATTCAAGAGTAAATGCATGAGCCATAAATTTGTATAAAGATATAATGCTGTTGTCTTGCTTTCATCTCTATTGCTATTATTTTTTTCATAAAGCTGTCCACTATAATCCCCAAATCCCAGTCTTAAATGGTAATGGCACCTCATTTCATTTGGAAATCCCCACCCCAGGAGTATTCCCCCCACCCTGGGCCTAACCTGACATTTAACGACTCAGGATGTCCCATCACTAGGTGTCCTTGTTGAGCAAGGCGGTTGGGATTAGACCATCTCTAGGGGTCCCTTCCAACCTCAACCATTCTGTGACCACTCTGCCTGCAAGGATTTTCTTAACACCTTTCATAGATGCCTTTCATTCTTGACATAATCCTGTGTCATCATCAAACCTTCTTACTCTGCTTTCCCACTCTTCTATAGATTTACTGAATAGCACAGATCCAAGCACAGACCTTTGGAGAATGCCACTGCTGACTCCCATCCAGTGTTGATTTCTTCCTACTCTTTCTCAGTTTTTAACTGATTATCCCTGCCAGTTGAGATAGATTTATTATGAGCCTGCTAACACATTAATGTATTATTACCAGTCTCTTTCACTTTATTGCCAAGGCATGATATTTATCACTGTACAACAGCTAACATATCATGCCTTGACTTACCTCTGTGGGCCATTTTCCTCCCACGGTGCACTTGTTTTACTTCTTTGGGTTTCTGGATTGTTTTCATTTTTCATCTTTTTAAAGCTAAATAAAAGTACAGATATATTTTTAAAACCTATATTGTACAGATCATATTTCTTTCCCTCTCCCCCCCCGACCTCTGAAAGAATTGATCTCAGAGGCATGCAGTCATTAGAAACCCACCTTGGCATACAGCTATTTGTCTGCTATGTGAAAGGAGAACAGCTGCTATATTAACTAATCTCACCTAGACAGATTGGAAGAAAAGGTGTAAATAACATAAAAACTGGATCTGCAGTCTCACTCTTACTTGGTTGCACCAAGGATCAATCTCTTCTCAGAATAGACGAGAACAGACACTTAACCAAAAAAGTCTAAGAATAGGGCAAATACCCAAGATGCCTCTCAGCTTTCCACAATGCTCAGTTAATGAATTACTGAGCTGGAGGCCTCACACAACCATCCAAAAAAAGAAAAAAGAAAAAGAAAAAGGAAGAAGGAAAAAGAGTTCTTGATGGAATAACTTCTTCTGCAAGCCTAAGAAGCCCAGCTTAACAGATATATACCAAGACTTGTAACCAGTCCCTCACCTTATCTATGGGGGCAGGGGAAAGAAACAACAGGGTGTTTTAATATTCTTTTCTCCTTTTTTCCTCACACTGTCAAGTTTTACAGCTCTCACTCCGCTAATGCACCCAGACCGCCTGCTCGCTGCCCCTCCAGGTGCTGGACAGTGGCCAAGCTTTTTGCCCCCCTCTCTCCCATGGCTTAGTCATGCCCTTCCTGCATAGTCATAGCTGGTGCTTCTCATGACAGGGAAAAGCAGTTCACCCAAAACAAGTCTAGATAGCCATATAAGTTTCCACTGATCTTTTCAAGAAGTATTACTGCACCCCACAAAAACATCAATGTTGCAGATGCTTCTCAAGTGCAACTTAAGCATCAAAAAAAAGTTTTTACAGATGCTTGCAAGAGAGGGAGACATAAGCCAGGATGCTTTGCTCAGAGCAGGAGGCAACACACTCAGCTTGATGAAGGCTACTTAGCTCACTAATCCACTTTTAACCTCAGCCTTTGGTTACTATAGGTCACTGAGTTAATCATTTAATTCTCACACAGTGAACCAAATTCAAAGTTACAGTAGGTCAGCAGGGAAAGAAATTATAGTCCACTTTATCAGGTAAATCATCTTCTTAATACTGTACTCATTAATTATCGACTCACATGTGCACAGAATCTATTTCCCAGCCCTAAAAACATAAGCTCCTGGCAGACTGAGCAGGTTAGTTAGGTAAATGGTTATGACCTCTACTTCAGAAAACAACTTTGCAAAGCATAAACTAACCTCTGAGATCAAAACTGAGTTTAAAGAAATTTATATTATGATTTCGATACTTATAAAATAAAGAGACAAAGGAACAATTCTGTGAGGTGAACTAACTGTATTAGATTCCTAAGTCATTACTCATTCAGAGCAAACTTAACACACTTAACAACTAGAGGGCTACAGCATGGCAGCTCTTCAGGTACTGACATTATTTCCAGGAATGCAGTTGCAAAAGGGACTGTGTTAATTCAGTGTATTTGAAAAGGCTGGGATCCGAATTTCATGGGAGAATACGGCTTTGTTTTTTACTCTGTTTACCTTGCATTCTTACCACTTATGCAGAAACTGCCAAAGATATATCTCAGCAGCTAAGCTACAAAAAATCAAGTGATAACAGGTCATGAGAGTCGCTTTTGCAAGATGTCTGGCCGCTCTTGCCTTCCATAAAGCAGGAATTAATGCGGAACGGAGTAAAATATCAAACTGTAAATGTCTAACACAGGGTGTGTACCGCCTCTCAGGTATACTCAGTTTGGTAGACCTGGCAACTATTTTACAAAGACAAGAAGATAAACAAACCAAGGAAAACAAAAAAGAAACTAGGTAGTGTATAAATATAGAGATATTTCCTCTTTCTGGGCATCTTGCATGCATATAAATATCTGGAATGCAAAATGGTAATACGTCTAATTTCTTAAGAGAAAATGTGCAAGAAAAACGACATTCTTTTTTAGTTTTAAAAAGATCAGTACTATTTAAAATATGCCTGAGAAACTACCCAAAATTATTTTTAAAATATTATATCAAAAATTAAACCCAGAAATTTGGAAATGCCATGTTGAAAACGCCACATTGAAAGTCTTTTATTCTGTTCCTTGATAAACAATCTACTTATCTACTTGCCTCAAATGATTCACTGGTAAAAAATTACAAACAGCACAGGGTGCACAAGCTGTAGTTAAGGGGTCCCCCTTCCCCAAACGATCATCTCTGAACTACAGAACAAGGATATCTATCTCTTACTTCGTCCCCTTCCCAGCCCTTACAAAATCCAGCAGTGCTCAGTGCATCCAGCTCAGTGGCTGAGCTTCAACAGATTGATATGTCAGATCCTAAACTTTCTCCTAACTGATCGAAATGCTTGAATGGAAGACTGGACTCAAATTCCCTCAGATTGAGGAAGCAACTTAACTTGTTTTAGGCCTTGTTTTAGGCAACTGGTATTATTAGGCGAGAGGAAACATTATGCAAGACTTTGAAGTAAGTTTTTGGACCCTTCTTTAGTAGCCAGTCCAGGTACTCAGAATATGAAAGCCAGAGCTTTAAAGAAGAGATTCAGAAAACTTGTCAGAGTTACTGGGCATGCAGAGACGCAGCCATTTAGGCAACTAAGCAAAGAAGTTAGAGGCTGAGCCCTTGACTCATGGTTTTGTAAGATCACTGTTTTGAGTCAGGCACCTAATTCCACCTAAATTAAGGGTGGGGATGTAAATCCTTTTCTGAATTTGAGCCTCATCTGTTTCTCTCAAACACACCAACTAAGCAGAGATGCATATTTCAGCACTGAAAGTCCAAAAAAGCAGACCAATAAAGACAGAAGATTCATGGCAATCCACTGCTCATGAATTCATGAGTTTTATACTGCGTTATTCCTGGATTTACCAGTACGATAAGCAGGGGACTGCAAGATTCAGAGCCTGGCCAGAGGGGAGGCCATGCCCAGCGTGTCCCTGTGCCAAGCACAGACATCCATATACAGATGCAGAGACCATGTGTCCTGCTCCCACAGCAGTGTCAACAGCCCGAAGCACCTGACGGAGGGAGCAGCAGGGGACACATGTCTCTGTACCTGTCCTGAACCAAGAGCAAGTGTCAAAATCTAATTTTTCATGTTTGTATCTTGGATGGTTTGTATCTTGGACTACTTTCCAATGAATGTGTTCATGACATAATGTGTTCATAATAGTGTTTTATGGGTTTTCTAGTACCACTGGCCATCTGGAACCTCTGTCAGCCCAAAGTTCAAGGTTTGTTATTACAAATTATCAGGCAATGTTTTATGGCCTTTGTCAGCAGATGAAAATCAGGGAAACCTTAATTTTAAGGGCAGCAAAAAAGCATAATGAATGATTATTAAATGATTTCCTCTACCCAATCTAATGAATGGTCTTCTAAAAACTGTAAGTGAAATGCTGGTCTATTTACCTTTTCACTGGAGAAGGTGCAATTATTTTGGTAGTTCCTTCATTCTCCCCATTTGTTATAATCTGATTTATGCTGTTAGATCCTGAAAAAGCAAAGAATACAAAACAATCCTTTAGCTCTTCCTTTGCACATCAATTCAGTCTAATTAGTGTATTAAGATCATATAAACTCCTACCAAACATAATACAGTATGTGAGATAAAATAACAAACAAAGCAGCGGGCGTATGTCAATGGCAAACAGGGAGCACATTTTCGTGTCCTATCTTTATTTCTAGTTATATCACATTAAAAAAAGACTCAACACCGGTGACATTCATTACACTTCTCTAAGATACGGAAGAATTAGGAGCTGTTGCTCCCACAGGAGGAGCATATACCATGCATTCTTGTGTATGGTATACATCCCAAAAAAGATCAGATATCTCCACTGTTTTACCTATGGCCTCTAAAACAATCCATGCCCATAAAACGATCCAAAGCAAGAATAAAGGTGGAGGGTGTCTTTTGATTTTTTTTTCTTCTAGGAAACTTGGAATAGTAGCAATGTATGTAAAGTAGTTGTTAATTGATACTGCAACACTAAACATACATCCCAAATATTTCCTAAGCTACAACCAGGAAAACAACTAACTGATGGATCTGAGAACTACTGAAAACTAATAACTTAAATAGATGCAAAAAAGAATAATACTGTCGCAGAAACAGCTCATCTAAGTGAATCAGAAGCATGTGGCCAGTATTTAAAGGCTTCCTGCCTATTTTCCAGTTTTGTGCCCAATGCTCTATAGATTTGGCCCCACTCTTTCACAGATTCACAGATTCACAGAATATTTAAGGTTGGAAGGGACCTCTACAGATCATCTAGGCCAACCTTCCTGCTCAAGCAGGCACACCTAGAGCATGTGGCACAGGGTGGCATCCAGGCGGGTTTGGAAGACCTCCAGAGTAGGAGACTCCACAACCTCCCTGGGCAGCCTGTTCCACTGCTCTGTCACCCTAACAGTAAAGAAGTTCCTCCTCACCTGGAGACGGAACT